CCCTTTCCCCCCCCCCGCCTTCCCAGCTCTCGACCCCTTCCTCACGTCTCCCCTTCCCTCCCCCTCCTCACGTCTCCCCTTCCCTCCCCCTCCGCTCCCGCCTCCGTTCCAAGGACTATGAATATGGACAAGAGGCGTGAAAGAGTTTGACTTTTGACTTTAAAAATTGATCACTGGAATTAATGACAAAGAAAAAATCATGAATGCCTTGACAGAGAATAGGTTTTAATTAAAAATTCAAAATTAAATCATAAATCGGTTAAAACTTTTTCCTTCTCAAATAACATCATTATGTTGCTATTGGTCAAACGAGTATGAAAAGTACTTTAATTTGATTGTGGTTACGATGAATGCAGTGTGTTAAGCTTCTTATGGTTAAAGAGATTTTGCTCATTTCGTTTTCAAAATGTGTGGATTTTTTGACTTTTTCAAAATTAATCAATTCTGAAGTGACAAGAAATTTCGATCAGTATTGAATATGTATTAACTTCTTGAACTTTTATCGGTTTAGATTTTTTCTCTCAACAACCAGCAATGTGATAATTTTGCAGTCGCTGGAAACGAGGCGTGAGGAGCACGAGCGGCAACGTCGGGCACTCAAAAACGAATGGTTGCGAGTAACAAAACAAGTTGTAAGTAATGCATATCACTCGAAATATTGGTACAGAACCTCGGCCAATAAAGAAAGGGGCTTGGATACCTGCAGTGCCTGTTTAGGAGCATTCCTGCTTTGGGCTATTTGTCTGTTCTTTTTGTATCATTAGGTGGGTTCAAATTTCCTGTAGTTTGTAGTGCTCGTAAGTTGATCTTTTTTTTTTTTTTGACTAATTTTATTTCTTATTCGCTCTCTTCATCTGCTCTTTTTCTTTTCCGCCCAGCATGTTCCCACTTTAGTTTTAGAAATCATTAACATGCGCACTTATACATGGCGTTTTGGAGGCTGTACTGATGATTCCCACTGCTACACAAGAGCACTGCAACTTCTGAGTTACAGCTAAGGCATGAAACACAGATTGCTCCTCTGTGTGTCAAATATATCTGAAATACATTTTTTTTTCCATTTTTCAATCCAAGATTTCGCATCCATACTTAACTTTTCGAGCAGATGATTCTGCGGAAGTACTTATCACTGCTTCG